AAGGAAGACTCTGAGACATGGAAGGAGGAGAGCAGGAGCAGACCTGGGAGAAAAACTCAGGCTTCTATCCTCCACATCAGCATTCCCATTCCTCCACCTACATGTGCATGTTGGGAACAGCCCCTTTCCCTTCCATGGCCTCCCTCCTGTCGTTTATACTTTTGTCAAGCAAAACCATGAGCTAAAGATCACACAGATTTTAAAATCCCATTGCCTTCCCCCAAAGGAAAAATACCCTTCTTGAATGACATAGAAAGGCAAGGAAAAGGAAGTTATATTGTTGCTGCTTCCCCCCTAATGCTTCTTGATTCCCTGTGGATTACGGAAATGTGAGCTGCTGCTTCTCTTCCTCCTCATTTTGGAGAATAACGTACTGTGATCACGTATAAGCCTTAAGTCACGGTGAGGCTCTCCTTTGGGTAGTTTTCTATCCACTTGCCATTACAGAAGGGAGCCAGACTGTGGCACAAGAGAGATGTGGGTTGGAAACCTGGGTTTTATCTGCCACTTACTGCTCTGTGACCCTGGTAAGTCACCCGACCTCTCTAAAGTTCATCCTCTTTGATAAAATGGAGATAATAATACCAATCTCTTAAAGATATTTAGGGAATTAAGTAAAAGGCCATCTGGAAATATTTGAGTGTAGTAGATGCTCTGTTAGAGGGAGCCATGGTCAAGAATAATGATAACCACCATCTGTCCAGAATGAGACAAATTAGAATGGATATGACACATGTACACAGGCTCACTTTATATTCCTGATTTCTGTGCTTCCTTAACTTTCACAGTGACTTGTCTAAGAAAACAGGCCTCATTCTGATCCCAACTTTAGATCTGGAAAAACATGAGGCTCACTCAGAAAAGGTGCAGGGCTTTCTCAGGGCCCCAGAGCTGGTGGTGGCAAAGCTGGGACCAGAGTCCAGCCCTCTGCCTGGTTCTCTTCTCCAGGCTAGCTGTTCCTCCAGTGGTGTAGCGCTCCCACCCATACCATCTGAATGCTCATGTGAAGTGGAAAAATTCAAAACCACGAACAGCCTCTAATTAGTTACAGTTCATGTTTTGTCACCAAACAAGTAAGAAAAACTTGAGCGTTCATGGTTCTTATATTCAGAATTGTGGATGAAGTATTGAACACATGGGGCAGAAATGGAGTCCTCGTGCGCAGGAATGGAAACCACGCCGAGAGCCCATTTACACTAGGCTTTGCTTATTTCAAAACTGCAACCCCTCTCCCCCACCAAAGGATCAAAGAGATCTGAAGCCATATGTCCCAGATTGCAATTAGAGAAAACTGGCACAATGTCTTTCAGGCCTGAATTCACTGGGTTATGGTTGCCTCTTGTCCATGGGCTGGATTGACCTTTGCCAGAATCTGGAAACTGGCCTTCCCAGCCTTTCTCAAAGCTCAGAATTCAGCTAAGAACTCTTCAGCTCTACCAGCGCCTAAGGTCAGCTGATGTGCAGGACTCCTGTTGGTTTCCTTCCAGCCCTTTCCCTCTTTCTCACAAAGGACTGTTTAAAGCACAATTCCTGATCTCATACTGGGACCCTTTTTTAGATGCTGAAATAAAGAAAATTAGGGGTTCTAGGACTGGGTATGCTTCTGTCATGCTCACCAAATTGCAAGCGTGCTCACAGCTCTTGTACAGGAAGATCTTAACTATATTTAATCACAGGAAACTTCCCAGGGCGGCTCAGGCTACCTCCTTTTACACAGTGACGATGCAAGAAAGGTTTCACTTGGAATAACAAAGGAGATTATTCCATCAGTTCTCATGTTTGCTGAGCCTGTGCCTGAGAAGCAAATAACACTGCCCTGTTCAGCCAAGTTATGGATTTTGTGTCACAGATTCTTATAATCTCCTCTGTCAGTCATTTCATCCCCAGCTCCTCCCTCCCTTTGAGAACCTGTCCATATACTTTGCAGGGTGAGTTCCCACAGGCCCTGCTGAGTGGACATGTGACTTTCACCCCTGGTCACAAACAACTTGATCTGGACTGGTCCCTACTTGAATTCAGCCAATCAGGTTCTTGTTCCCGGGGGTTGGAATTGGATTTCTGAGATGCTAGTGAGTGTTGGCTGAACATTTAAAGAGAGAAGTCAAGTCAGTGATGCGAACTTTGTGTTTGGCTTTTGGGCCAAGAATCAGGAAAAAAGGCTAGTCAGGAAGTAGAGATAGAAACAGAGGTAGAGGTAGAGATGAGGGAGAGACCACATGCAGACAGAAGCTGAGATAAGAAACCAATTCACTTAAGATACACTAAAAGCAAAACCTTGACTTCGCTTTTCATTGCTGTTTCCAATATTTTATAGACATTCATTGCATACTCTGCCCTTTCTTTATTTGCCACTGGAATTTGTAGATAAATACAACCTGTGCCGTTTTCCTTTGTGTGTGTGTACATGTACGTGTGTATGTAATTCAGTGGGGTTTGTTGTTTGCAATCCAGGGATCTCATGACAGATTTGCATCCATAATCTCACCTGTGATGACCAGTAACATTTTCAAGATGGAACCTTTGCTTGAAGAGTAGAGATCATGGTCCTGGAACTAGAACCAAGAGGCGAGGTTTCTGTGGATCTAGTGTCTTAGCACAGTTGTGCAGTTGCTATGTCATGTCAAGTCATGTGACCCCAAGGACTGCAGCATACCAGGCTTTCCTGTCCTTACTATGTCCTTGAGTTTGCGCACACTCATATCCATTGAGTGATGCCATCCAGCCATCTCATCTTCTGTCCTCCCCTTCTCCTCATGCCCTCAATCTTTCCCAGCCTCAAGGTCTTTTCCGAAGAGTTGGCTATTCCCATTAGGTGGCCAAAGTATTGGAGCCTCAGCTTCAGCTTCAGTCCTTCTTAGGGTAATGCTCATCAATTTGTCTGTCACTGATGCTTCTCAAGGTTTTGCTCTGCTTTCATTCTTTGCATTGGACTAAAATAGATTCTATAAATGATTTTCCCCTCAGAGGAGAGTAATTTCCCATCTGGAATGGAGTTTCAAAAATCCTTACAGGGAGCCCCAGCGTTGGAATGGCTCCAAGATTCTTCCTCACACCATTGGCCAGAGTCTCTTTTTTCCTTCTCTGAAAGGTGTGAATTTGAACTTTTGATTGGTCACCAAGGTTGTCATATCCAGCTACTTTTGACTAAGATACAAAGGACTTGGATGGAGTGCAGCCCACAGATTCTATTTGAGGAATGCCAAATGGCTCTCCAGGCCCCGGTTGGTACCACATTCTCACACAGTGCCTGAAATGTGCAGTTATTTTTGTTCAATTGTAATATTATTGCTCACGATGAAATCTAATATTAAAACAAAATTGACAATGCCCACAAGGAGGGCAGAGAACTCAGCAATCTGCCTGCTGTGTGACTTTGGAAAAATCAAAAGTTTGGTGCTTCGGTTTCCTCATCTGTGAGATGGTAATACTAATACCAATCTCAGAAGGTTATGATGGGAGTTGAGTTAATATTTACAAAGTGCCTGGCACATGAGTCAAGTCCTGTTGAATGCACATTCCTTCTATGAAAATGGTGACAGAGGGTAAAGTCTGGGGCTTTCCCTAACAGGGATAAAGTATAGACTTTTGAACTTAGACTAAGGTTTGGAAAGTAAGGAGGGCTAAGGAATCTGGTCTTGGTGTATTTGGAACACTACAGGATGGGAGAACAGGCTTCCCAGGTGGTGCACTGGTAAGGAATCTGCTTGCCAATGCAGGAGACACAAGAGACATGGGTTTGATCCCTGGGTTGGAAAGATCCCCTGGAGGAGGAAATGGCAACACACTCCAGTATTCCTGCCTGTAGAATTTCATGGACAGAGGAACCTGGTGGACTATGGGGTTGCAAAGAGTCAGACATGACTGAGCACACACAAGCACGTGCACACACATACATACACACACAAAGGATGAGACAACACTTCTCCAGACCAGGGGCGGAGGTTCTCCTTCAGAAAGGCTCCCTTATCATGTGCCTCTGAGGCTTACAGTGTTGGGTTGGAAGGGAAATGGCAGCTGAGGGAGGTAACTTAGGAAGTTACAATAATTCTGGAATGAATTAAAGTCCTGGTGAAAGTCTATCTCAAAGATTTAGGCATTGACTGATGTGTGTGTATAATTTAAACTCAGGAATTCAGGTATAGCCACAGGGAATGTGTGTCCTGAGGACATGACCATTTTTAGATCATCTTCTCAAGGAATTGTTGGTTAAATCATGGCCAGAATTTACAAAGATATTGGGATCTAGGGGGTTTTAAATCATATATAGGCAGAATTCACATAAAGTAAACTTCACCCCCGTTTTGCGTGTGCAGTTCTAAGAGTTTGACAAATGTGTGCAGTCATGTACCCATCACCACAATCAAGCTATGGAACACCTCCACCCCCCTAAAAGTGCCCTCTTGCCCATCTGTGGACAACTCCATGTCCTACCCACAGTCCTGGCAGCCGCTGATCTGTTTTCTTCCTCTTACAATTTTGCCTTTTGCAGAAGGCCAGTACAGCTTCTCTGACCTTTGATCCCAAATCACGCGATAACAACTTTTTCAGCCTTGTAGCCCTTATCACAATTATAATTATACTGTATAAGAAATTGATAAAATGTTCACAGTCTGTCTCTTCTGCTAAGACTCTGGCAGGCATGTATGAGGGCAGAGATTGGTTCATTACTTTGTCCTTAGCAATACCATCAAGTAGAAGCGCAATACACATTGTTTGATGAATGAATGAGTGAGGGGCTCAGTGATCATAAGGGAAGTGCTCTAAGACATACTGACACAGCAAAAGCAATGCAATATTTGGTGGTATCAAACCTATTATATTATAAAACATCAGAGATTATATCATATTAGTTTTATATATCATATTACTTAAACATTCCTGAAGAGTGTACATAGATTTCTGTAGTGACAATGGGTCTGAATATTAGCAATCATACCCACCCGAGGCAACCCCAGGTGCATGATCAGTACCTTCAATTGATCAAAAATAAAATGAAAAACTTTTAAATCATTTAACATTGTCTTTTGCCATTAATTTGCCTAACTATATATTTAAAGCTGATTATTGTGTAATTTTTACACTCCATATATTTTGGAGCAAATCTGACATTATACTGATGCTTAACAGTAAGACCATGAAATCCTCAAAATCCAGCTTATTCTCTGTGTGTTCGTCAAGTTCAGAAAGGAGGTCTTTGTACCTTGCTTTGGTTTCTTGCCCCTGTAAGAATGAAAAGTAAAAAGCCTAATTCATTGTGCTGCCTTGGTTTTATAGATAATAAGCAATAGTAAACATGTTATTAACAATATGTCAAGTTGCTACCAGCACTACTAGTCAAGCACTGTGTTAAATCTTTTCATGGGTTATTTGAGTGCTCACAGTGACCTTATTGAATACGTATTATTTTCCCACCCTACAATGCAAGGCCAGAGACTCACTGAGAATAAAGTAATTTGCCCCAAACTTCCCTGGTGGCTCAGATGGTAATAGAATCTGCCTGAAATGCAGGAAATCTAGGTTCGATCCCTGTGTCAGGAAGATCCCCTGGAGAAGTGAATGGCTATCCACTACAGTATTCTTGCCCAGAGAAATTCATGGACAGAACAGCCTGGCAAGCTACAGTCCACAGGGTCATGAAGAGTCAGACATGACTGAGCAAATAACACCACATCATCACAGACAGCTATGAGCGTGGAACCAGGATTCATTGCATTGGATACCTGATTCTGGAGTCCTCACTCAACTGCTAAGCTATACTACCTCTCTACAAATACAGTTACTGTTATGCTTTCTGATTTTCAAATTACAATCCTTTTGTCATTGGAGGTATCCACCATGTGATCTACTGAGTTTGATTATCCATAAAAATGAAGTAAAATATGCTAAAAGAAAGTATGTGCTTTGAAAGATTGTTCAGCGCTTAGCTTGATCATAAATCAAACCAAAGTTCATCAAACCTCAGAAACAGATTGAAGGAAAACCTGTGAAAAGCAAATAAATGGAAAAACTTTTCAGTTCCAAGAACAGCTTGTGAAATATCTTCCCAAGTGGCATAAAAAACATTAAGGTCATTTGATTCACCGCATTTAGTTTAACCCCAAACCCTCACCCATGTGCTGGCTGTAAAAAAGCTCATTGCAGCAATGACTAAGGCACTTCCGGAGTGATGATACATTCCTCTCACAGGCTTAAGACCTTTCATGTTTTCTAGGCTGTTCCTCAAGAGGCGACACTTAACAGTGAAGGTGAAAGGACCTATGTCTGCCTCTCTCAGAGTGAGTGGCCCTCGACCAGTGTGAAGCACGCTGTTTACCCCCAGGTCAGAGACAGCTGGAGATCCTCTCTTTTTGCTGTGCATTTTAAGAGCACGGAGCTGATGGAGGTCCAGTCTTTTTGGGGCCTAACCTGCCATCTTGCTTTTGTATCTTCTTAGCAGTGCATTTAGGTGCTCAGTTTTATTATCTCTGACTGACTATAGGGGGAGAAATAAGATCCCCCAAATTATGTTTAGGCTTATGAGGAAGGACATGTTCCTTTCAGACCCTGGACTCAGCCGGAAGGTCCAGCTCAGTTTCCCAGAGAACCCTGTGTGAGGATTTAGGAGGAAGCCCAGTTGGTTACGGAGACTCCTACGCTGTGCCTGCCTTTGGCACTCTCACAGGGCAGAGGGAAGTTGGTCCGAGACACATCGTGCCATGACACTGCATGTCTGGCAGTGGGACTGCTCAGTGGGACCGCTGAGACTGAGGCGGGTAGGGATGAGCAGTCCCCCCAAGCCCCTGAAATATGTCTACTCTCTTCTGGAGGAGAGGGTGGGATTGCCCTGTGATCTGGCTGAGTCTGCTGCTAGAGAGCCTGGAATCAGTTGCCTTTCCTGGGTTTAGTTTACACTGAGGGGCACGAGGCTGAGATGTCTTTCCTGGCGACTTTGGTTTTAATTCTTTTCCTCTGATGTTCTCAGAGGGATAGTGGATCACATCAGGATGAGACTCATCCACTAGGTCCTCATTCTCACACTTGTCAAAAGCTCACTGAGGACTTGCCAAGTACATGCAGTGTTCTTTTTCTCTCTGAGATTTGTCATTTTTTTTGGCCTCTGATGCAAACTGATGATATACAATTTGCTCTCCCACCCTCTCTGTAAAGACCCCACAAAACTGGAGATCTCGTGACATATCTTATGATGTTTTTCGGGGAAAAAAAAAATAGCTTTTTAAAAAAAATTTATTGCAAAAACAATGTGTTTAATATTGGACATACAGAAAAAACAAAAAACAAAACAGAAGAATGTAAAAATAACCCTTTATCCTATTACCTAAAGATAGCTAACTATTATTAACATTTCTTTTCAGTCATTTTTCTGTGTCTCACACGGGAGTCTCTGTCTCCTTTTCACACACACACACATGCACAAGCTCTTTTTCTACTTTATTGTGGAACAATGACAAATATAACCGTATATATTTAAAGTATACAATGTGATGATATGATACATATGCATTGTGGAATGATTACCAAGATCAAGATAATTAACAGATCCATCTCCTCGCACAGAATTAACGTGTGTGTATGTGTGTGGTGACAATGCTTGAGACTTACTCTCAGAGACTCTCAAGTATGCAGTACCTTATTACTAACTAGAGTCATCACACTGTCAGTGAGAGCTTCAGAAATTATTCTTCTTATAGCTGGAAATGTGTGTACCCTTTGACCTAAATCACCCCTTTCCCCCAGCTCCTGGCAACCACCATTCTGTTCACTGTTTCTATGAAACAGGCTTTTTAAAAAATCACTTATTTGTGGAATAAAAAAAAAAAACCAACCAAAAAACACTTCACACATACTCTTTGGAAATAATCCTAGGAAGCTGTACCTTTGACCCAGACTTCCCAGTCGATAGCACCTTATGTAACTATAGTACGCTAAAATATAATATACATATTTATATTTTAAAGGAACTTCTCTTTTATGTATTTCAGAATACACATAGAACCTGAGAGACTGTTTCCTTTTAGGTTTTTTCTCTCTCTGCCTACCATTAAATGTTGGTGGTTTAGGTTCAGCATGAGGCCCTCTTTTCTTCTTACCTGTTGTCCCAAGGCTACTATTTTCTGAAGTTTGAATTCATACTGCTGGTAGAATGTGATGTGATTTTAGCTGATGTGGGAACTATATTAGATAAGAACGTACAGTCATCTATGTTTTTTACTATCGTCCACTTCCACTCACTGAATTTACATTTAGAAGAGTGATCAAGTTTCTTTATAAAATAATTTTAAGTAGAGTGTTAACTTAAAAAGTTCTAAGTAAATTTTAATACAGGCTATAGGCAGATACAGGAAAAACACTGAAGATAGGGGACTTTCCTGGTGGTCCAGTGGCTAAGACTCCACATTCACAATGCAGAGGGCCTGGGTTCAATCTCTGGTTGGGAAACTAGATCCCACATGCTGCTACTAAGACTTGGTGCACCCAAATAAAAATAAATACTTTTTAAAAAAGTACTGAAGAGAGTATCAAGTGACTGAGGTTTGAGAAAGATGCCTCTAGATGATTTAGGTCCCTCACTCTGGTCACTCACTTAATACAGATCTCTATTCTGACCATTCTGCTCACACACCCCATTGCTGTCTGAGTTTATCAACTTTAAAGTTTCAAGGACACCTTAAGCTTGACCCAAGCTGACAGAACTCATCACCTGCCCCCACCTCCCAGACCACCTCCAATCTGCTTCTTCTCCAGTCTTTCTCTTCTCTGAAAATGGATCCACCACCCATTTCTTCCCACAGTCAGAACTGACATATCATTATTGGCTCCCCGCACCCCCCCCACCTCCCCCGATTCTTCAACCCTCACAGCAGATCCTGTTCACTCCACCTTCCAAAGGCCCCTTATACTTGCCACCTTAGTCCAGACCAACATCCTCTTGTGTTTGGATTCCTTCCACACAGTTCCTCTCTTCTTTGCCTCACTCCCCACCCTCATGGAGTCCCACCTCCTACTGCAGCTGGTGTGATTTCTTCCTCAGGAACTAAGAAACCATCCCTGGCTTCCTCCTGCTCACCGGCTATGCCTTTGCAAGACACGACTTCTCACCACCTGCCTGGCTTCCTCCATCACTGCGCTTACTTCCCTGCTGCTTCTCACTAATACTTACTGGACCTCAGATGTCTTTGGCATGCTTTACATGAGATTCCCTACTTGGAATGCCCTCACCCCTAGATCACTCTTAATCTCATTTTTTCAGATCACAGCTATACCTTAATTTTCCAGGAGCTCTTTTTTGACCACCAAGCCCAAAATGGCCCCTCTGTTTTACTCTTTCATGCCAGCTGTCATGGTATGGCTCACATTTCTTGGTGCCTGTTAATTGTCTCACCTCTGTGAAATTCTTAAACTGGGTTTGTAGCAGATTTTTGGCAGTAGCTTTTCCGAGTCTACCATCAGGGTCAGAAGAGTTTCTGAAAACCAGAGCGACGGTGGCGATGGCTTTTTCCAGATCTGAGCCCTTGCGTAGAGCTGTGAGAGGAGAAATGTACAACCGTGTAGCCTAGGTTAGAAATGACCCTCCCAACCATCAGGCTCCTCCTTCCAGGGGAACCTGGGGAACAGCACTGGAAGGTGTGTGTCAATGTGATCCTGACCTTTGGCTTTTTGCCACCTGAGGGTGGAACGCATCCAGTGTTTGATCCTGGACCTTTAAATAATGGAGAACAAAAGTCCCTTCAGTAGCAAATAAAATTAGTAGAATCAGGATGAGATTTAGCCCCTGCTTGCCATATGACCTTGGGAAAACACCTGAGCTCTCTAAGCCTTAGTTTTCTGATGTGTAATTTCATTTAGTTAGTCAACAAATATTTACAGAACATCTACTATGTGTTTGGCTCAGTCCCTGGCATTAAGACGAAACTTCATTGAGTAAGACAAAGTCCTTCTCTTGTGGAGTTTATATTCTGTGTCAGAGCATCACACAGGCCAGTGTGGGAAAGGAGAATGATATCCAGAACAAGTTCTCTGATATCATGATAGATAAGGGATCTCTTTGGATCAGGGCCTCAGTCACAGTGATCTTCCCAGCTGGTTTCTCTGGTTTAAAGTGTGGTGCTAACTCAGCCCTTTTCAGTGGGGAACACACAGTGACACCTGAGAACTACATAAGGTTCAGTGAAGAAAACTCAGCCTCTCTGTTCCCTCAGCCCTTAGTACATCCTCTATTATAGAATTTCTCCCACCTTATATTTATTGCATGTTTGATCATCTTTCTTTCAAACTGAAATGCAGGCTCCATGAGGTCACAGATCATATTTTTTTTTAATCACTATACTCCCAGTGACCAGCAAAAATGCCTGCTATGTAGTAGTTGTTTAGTCGCTAAGTCATGTTCGACTCTTTGTAATCCCATGGACTGCAGCAAGCCAGGCTTTCCTGTCCTTCACTATCTCTCAGAGTTTGCTCAAATTCCATTGCATTGGTGATGCCATCCAACAATTTCATCCTCTGTTGCCCCCTCCTCCTCCTGCCTTCAATCTTTCTTAGCATCATTGTCTTTTCCAATGGGTCGGCTCTTCGCATCAGGTGGCCAAAGTATTGGAACTTCAGCTACAGCATCAGTTCAGTTCAGTTCAGTTGCTCAGGCATGTCCAACTCTGCAACCCCATGGACTGAAGCACACCAGGGCTCCCTGTCCATCACCAACTCCCAGAGTTTACTCAAACTTGTGTCCATCAAGTTGGTGGTGCCATCCAACCATCTCATCCTCTGTCTTTCCCTTCTCCTCCTGCCCTCAATCTTTCCCAGCATCAGGGTCTTTTCAAATAAGTCAGTTCTTCGAATCAGGTGGTCAAAGGATTAGAGTTTCAGCTTCAATAGCAGTCCTTCCAATTAATATTCACGACTGATTTTCCTTAGGATTGACTGGTTTGATCTTGTTACAGTTCGAGGGACTCTCAAAAGTCTTCTCTGCAGGTGCCATTAAATGCTGTTGAATGAATGAACAGGAAGAAAAAAAGAGAAAAACAAAATCCAATAGCTTTTTGCCCAGGTAATGTGCAACAATCGTGGATTCAAAGAAAAATGATCAGTCTGAACACTGACTTCTGTATGGAGCACTTACTGTGTTCCTGGTAATTCCTGAGCTGCTCAGACACAATCAGAAGTGGCCTCTGCCCTCATTGATCTCATAATCTAGTGGGATAAAAAACAGTAATCAAGAGGATATGGATGCACGCATATGGGTTTGTTATATATATGTATATATATATTTTTTTATAATTGTTTCTCTATATACACATATATGATGCAAATTTACAACAGATGATGTATGAGGCAAAGAAGGTATAAAGACAGAAAAAAACAGAAAATTACAGAGTGGGTCTGGGAGAAAAAGTACTGATATATACAGGTGGTCTTGAGGCATCTCTAGGTAGATTATTATTTAAGCTAAGACCAATATGAGAGGAAGGACCTGTCAGTAAAGGGTAGAATGGATCAGCCTGAGATAAGGGTGGTGTTCAGAGTTCCAGGCTCAGGAAGCCCCATATGTGAAGGCTCAGGTCAGGAGTATGGCACTAGAGGAGCTGAAAGGACAGTTGTGACTGGAGTCTAGAAGCTTCAAGTATTTGGTTAGAAAAGTGGGTAAGGGCTAGACCATGGTGAACTCCTAGGTGATGGAAAGGAATCAGAATTTTCTTCAATGGTTAAAGAGAAGGCATTGAAAAATTTAGTTGTTTTTTTTTCCCAACTAAAGTTAAATGGAAGGACAATAGTTAAGAGGAATGGGTGAAGGGAAAGAGTGTGTGGACCTTCTCAATTTTTACTGTATCTCTGAACAGAATTCAGACCAAATGGTGAAGCTATAATTTCTGTCCATAAACATCTGCCAAAGCACTCTAATCAAGGTGTTGGCCTCCACTGCAGAATATCTTGGATATTTACAGTTTTTGGCTATTATAAATAAAGCTTGTAAGAACATTTGTATGCAAGTTACTATATAGACACGATTTCTATTTCCTTGGAAAAAATGCCCAAGAATACAATTGCTGGGTTATATGATAGGCCCATTTCTTGTTTTTAAGAAACCATAGTGCCAAAGAATTGATGTTTTTAAACTGTGGTGTTGGAGAAGACTCTTGAGAGTCCCTTGGACTGCATGGAGATCCAACCAATCCATCCTAAAGATCAGTCCTGGGTGTTCATTGGAAGGACTGATGCTGAAGCTGAACTCCAGTACTTTGGCCACCTCATGCGAAGAGTTGACTCATTGGAAAAGACCCTGATGCTGGGAGGGATTAGGGGCAGGAGGAGAAGGGGACGACAGGATGAGATGGCTGGGTGGCATCACTGACTCGATGGGCATGAGTTTGGGTAAACTCCGGGAGTTGGTGATGGACAGGGAGGCTTGGTGTGCTGCAATTCATGGAGTCACAAAGAGTTGGACACGACTGAGCAACTGAACTGAACTGAAACTGTTTTCCATAGTGGCTATACCATTTTACAGGTCCATGGGCTTCCCTGGTGGCTCAGATGGTAAAGAATCCACCTGCAATGTGGGAGACCTGGGCTTGATCCCTGGGTTGGGAAGATCCCCTGGAGAATCCTCATGGACAGAGGAGTCTGGTGGTCTATATATAGTCCATGTGGTCACAAAGAGTCAGACAAAACTGAGTGACTAAGCACACACACAGCAATGTATGAGGGATCCAGCTTTCCTTTATCTTTGCCAGCATTCAGGATGGTCATTATTTATTATTTTAGCCATGCTGATATATGCACAGTGACATCTCACTGTGGTTTTAAATTGTATTTCCTAATGGCTAATGATGCTAAATGTCTTTTCATGTGTTTATTTGCCATCTGTATATCTTCCTCAGTGAAACATTTATCTGTTCAGATCTGTTCATGGATTTTGCTCACTTTCTAACTGAATTAAAAATGTTTTTTGAGGTTTGAGAGTTTTAAAGTTTTCAAGATACAAGTTTTTTTTAGCATATGTGATATGCAAATATTTTCTCCCTGTCTTTATATTGTGTTTTTATTCTTCAATGGAGTCTTTCGTGAAGGAGAAGTTTTTTTATTTTTATCAAGACAAATTTATCAATTTTTCCTCTGCTGAAAGATTTGCCCTAGGTATAATTAAACATTTTATAATTTTGTGTTCTACATTTAAATCCATGATTCATGTTCAGTTAATTTGTGTGTAAGATATGAGACTTGGATAGCGGCGTATTTTTTGTAACCTATGGATGACCAATTGTTTCAGTACCAACTCTTAAAAACTCTGTCCTTACTTTGTTGAATTATTTTTGCACTTTGGTCAAAAATCAGTAGAGCATATTAGCGTGAGTCAATTTCTAGGTCCCTTATTCTGTTTCACTGAACTATGTATTTATTCCTCTGTCAGCCTCATACTATTTTGATTCCTGTAGCTATCTTGTAAGCCTTGACACTGAAGATTCCTCCCACTGTCTTCTTTTCCAAAATTATTTTGGCTATTTTAGGGCTTTCTCTTTTCCACATAAAGTTTAGAATAAGCTTATCTGTTTTCAAAAAAAACCTGAATTTTGTGGCATTTCATTGAAGTTAGAGAGCAACTTGGGGAGAACTGACGTCTTCATGAGGTTGACGCTTCCAACCCACGAACACAGTGTGCCCGTCCATTCATTATACCATTTTATAGATGAAGACAGGATCTGATCTTGCTGAGTGACAGTTGACAGTTGAATCTATGTTTTCATGTTGAAAACATAAGCCTCATGAAGACAGAGATGTCTTGCCTGTGGATTCTTCAGCACTTAGAGAAGTGCCTAGCATACAGGAAGTTCATCACAAATATTTATTCAATAAATGTCTGTGGAATCTGTATCCTCAGCCTCTTCTACCTTGATTTCCTCTTTGGCTTCTGATCCTCAGTCTCATTCTGACCTATGGCTTCTGTCTGCTCATCCAGTGGCTGGCCCTTCATCTAGCCTACTATTCCAGCCTCAGAAAGTTCTCTGTGTCTTTGGGTTCTATGTGGAGCTCGTTCTCCTCCTATCCTTATCCAGTTCTTCCCTTCACTTCTGCCACATCTTGAAACCCGTTTTTAAAACTCAGATTGTCCTCAGTTAGCCAGGATTTTCCTGCTCATCAAAACACAAAGGAGATGGCATATTTCTTGTAGCTCATGTCTGCCTTTCCTCAGTAGAGATGTATGTGTTTGAATGGGTGGGGAGCTATGCTATGGTAATCCTGAATTTAAGTGGCTAAAAAATAAACTCTGTGTATAAATAGTCTTATTTTTAAAAAACAAATTGTTTAGAGGAAACATCTGAATTCCTTAAGAGGTAATAGCACTTCCGGAATTTTTGCCAGTTGAGTTTTTTATTAATAACTCGGAATAACTAGAGAAGGCTTTAATATGAGCTGTTCTACTGGGTCTGAGACTTCTCAGGGGACACAATAACCTCTTCCTCTCCTGAATGTGCCCTTCTGGCAGGGAGTGTGAATTTCCAAGCTGTGAGTGAGCTTGAAAATAATGACGGGCACTTTTCTTGTTTACTATGTGCCAGATGCCTTTCTAACATAATCTTATTTAATGCTTTGTAAAGCCAGAAAGGTAGGTGCTATTTGTGTCTCACTTTTGCATATTGGACACTGACACATGGAGAGATTAAGAATCTTTAGGTCACACTGCTCAGGAGTGGCAGGGGAAGAGTTCAAAGTCTGTCTGCCTTCAAAGGCCACAGAAAGATCTGCCAGTTTGGAATAAGTCCTTCTAAGAGCATCGCCACAGAGGCTGCGGAAACCAGATACCCCAATCCGCTGATGAAGTTCAGTTCTGCCTGCATTTGAGAGGGAGACTCCATCTGGACTAGCCCACTTCTTTCCCTTCTCCTCCATTCTTTTAAACACAGCATGGATTTCCCCCTAACTGTAAAATAACATATGCTTGTGGTAAAAACAGAACAAGAAAAACATTAAAAAGAAAAGATAACAAGGAACTCCAGTTATCCTACCGATACTGGTGATACTTTGCAAGGCTTTCTGGTTTCCTGTTTTTATGGTACAGTTCTTTCCTTAGTAAAACTCAGCGTGTTGCCTCCTAATTCCTGTCCTGTCTGCCTCATGGAGTTGTGAGCGAACACGTGAAAGCATATTGTGAAGGGTGAAGTGCTATTGAAAATGCAAAGGCTCGATGTTTGTTTTTTGGCATCTTTTATCAGCTCCTGCCTTTGGAGTGGAGGTGGTGGAGAGGGTGTTAAACCAGGCACTTCACGTCCATCTCTCCTGTTAGTTTCTATCTCACTTTTACCCTTTAATGATACTAATCTGTCTGTAGTTTCTTATAACCCTATCTTCCCAACAAGTTCTTACTGCCAGGTTCTGTTCTAGTTCTGGGGAGAGAGCAGTAAGCAATATTAAGAGAACAATCCTGAAGTATGAGTTCTGAGGGACAGTAGTAATGAATGAGTGGATTCCATGCTCTGTAGGCCAGCCACTCCTTTGTGGGACATATATGATTCGACTCATTTAATCTTTACATCTGTCCGTCCGCTCAGGTCGTCCCAGCATCATCTCTGCTTTATGCATGAGGAACCTGAAGCACAGAGAGGTTAAGTAGCTTGCTCCAGGTCACAGAGGCAGTCTGGCCCCTCACCGTGATGCATACAGCCTCTAGACATTGTTTTTCTGGCAGCGTATTCTCAAACCCTGGAATTGGGCTACATGCCCCTCCTTTGGGCTCTACTTCCCTAAACATAAACTTGTCTGAACCCTCACATTAAAACACTCTGTTTATCTGTCTCAATTTCCTTCTACATCGGTGCTGTCCCAAAGAAATATAATACAAGCCCCAATTATAATTAAATTTTTTCTAAGTAGCTACATAGAAACATTACACTAAAACAGATAAACTTATTTTTAAAATATATTATTTAACCTAATATGTCAAAATATAACATCAGCCTGTGATCAACATGAACAAAGTATTCAGATGTTACATTTTTTTTCCCTACTAAGTCTCTTACATCTGATATGTATTTTACACTTACAGCACATTTCTATCCAAACTAATTGCATTTCAAGTGTTCCATATCCAGGTGGCTAGTGGGTATCATATTGCCCAGTGCAGCTTTAGAATATATGTTCCCTCAGGGCAGTCATTGCATCTTATTTATCTTTGCATTCATTCCCAGGCCCTAGCATGTTGTAGGCCTTAGCATATGTGTGCTGGACTGAACTGACTTGAACTTGAGAACCATCCCTGCCTCTTTCACCTCAGCTATTCTGGAATGTGGAACCCTAAACACGAACTATTTCATTTAGTGAGTTCCTAATATTTTAGTGTAGTAGAAATACAACTCTCATTTCTGTAAGGGATCAGAATGACCTTAGTTTAGAACTCCTACTACTACGTATTTTGCAAATGAAGAAGATCTACAGGAGAAAAGTGGCTTATTCAAGTTTGCATCAGTCGTATATGGCAGAACTAAAAACTGATCTCTGCTCTTTTCTTGCCAGATCAATAGTTTTCCCAATACTCCAGTACTTCTCAAATTTTTGACTCTAAATCTACTTTGGATGCTAGAGGGAAATATGTGTTCAACCGTCATTCCATCTACCTTCCCCAAAAGGTCAAGGGCATAAGTAACAGGAAGAGAAAATGTGGACTGGTACTGACTTCTATTCCATGATCTAGCCCTGTCTGATTTCACCAAATAAAACTTAAAATTACCAATGAATAAAACAAATTCTGGCAAGATGAGCCCTATTTGTCCTGTGTTTTCTTAAGGCATGAGAATAAATGTGACCCAATGGTCTACTATAAGGAGTCTGATACTAGGAATGATGTGTGTGTATATGTGTGTGTGAGTGTGTGTTGGAGGGCAGTGTGGATGACAGAATTACGATTCCCCCTCAACCTCCCAGAGAGGATTGTTATGTGAGAAATGTCATGCATATTCATCATGTCATGGACATGATATTTTGTCACTGACAATTAACAAAAAGTGCCTGAAGCTGTGAAACAGAAATCATGGATAACTTGTGCTACAATGATGCAAAAATAATATTTTTGTCAAGATGAAGATTTATGTAAATAAAAATATTAAGTGTCTCCTTTGGAGAAAGAGACCAGCCATCTAGGGAAAATAACTACAATATAGTGGAATCCAGCTGTACTTGATATTCTGTAAACAAGCCACATGTTCTGGAATAAGATAATGATCCAAGTATATGAGTGCATCTTTTCTTTCAGTGTTATTTCCATGACAATATTGTTCTCTCTAAAGATAGTTTACCTATAAAGTGAAATTATAAAGGCAAATGTTTACACCTCAGGAGTTTGGCACACTATATTTTGCTCAATCAACAGAGGCAGTTGGGGATTGACTTCGTCCTGAGCACCACTGAACATTCATGCATCAGATGCTGATGGTCTTGCTCTGGATACACTGTGGATGCCACCTATGGAGAGCCATCTGGCCACGTGGGATGAACACTGAATTAGGAGTCAAGGACTCATGCACCTATTATAGCTCAGCCTTTAAATTTGGGTGAGTTAATTCCTGTCACTGGACCTCAGTTCCCAAAGGTTTAAAAAGGACATTATAAATGTTTTATGATTTATCTATAAGTTTTCTTATATCACTGCCCATTATTTTTAACTCTTGGCATGCTCTCCTGGTAGAGAAGCAACACGTACATCTCCATCACCCCAGGCCTTACCTTTTATTGAAGCCAGCTGTTTGGATATTGAAATGCTGCCAACAAAACGAAAGAAACATAACGATTCAGGGAGTTCGGGTATTGATATCAGCATCAAAAGTAAGGTAATAAAATGATTTAAAGATTATTTTCAGTAAATTTGCACTGAGTGTTCTGACAAAGCACCTGCCTGTCTTTCAAAATCCTTTCTCCCCTGTCACATGGTTAAGAAGTACTTGGCAATGGCTGGCCTACATAGCCTAGTCTTTTGTGTAGTCTTGTGAGCATGTGAGCAAATGCCCTCTAATAGAAAAAGAGAACTGAACACCTTCTATTCAGGCTTTTCTGTGCTCTTTCCTGTTTCTAGCCAATTAACCCAGAAATTATCAGGAGCGCCTTGGAAGACTCATCTTGAAGCTACATCAGCCTGGGGCCCTAGATGGTGGCATGCCACAGACTTGGAATCCCTACTCTGAACTGTCACATGAAAAAGAAAAAAATATAACTTCTTTTCTGTAAAACTTAAGGGCTTGAAAGGAATTTGACACTAAGTAGTCAAGAGACTGTGACCCTTGGGGCCTCAAGTTTCTGACTTATAAAGTTAGGAAGCTGGACTCTGATATCGTGGAATTTTTATGGTCTTCTCTACAAGACACTCTTCTTTTTTTATAATTTATTTTACTGTGGACAATTTTCAAAGTCTTTATTGAATTGGTTATAATATCATTTCTATTTTATGTTTTGTTTTTTTGGGCCACAAGACTTGTGGGACCTCAGCCCCCTGGCCATAGGTCAAATTGGCACCCCCTGCATTGAAAGGCAAAGTCTCAACTGGAGCACCAGAGAAGATCCTCCAAGATTTTCCACTCTTGATTTTCTAAAAACTCTGCACCATCATTATCCTTTTCATAAGATAATGTATAACATGTATACATGTATAACATGTATACACTTGCAATACAGCTTGTGTTATTATTATTATTATTATTTTGCCACGATCTCCTCCATAAGTCTGTGAGGCCCTTGAAAACAAGAGTTCTGCAGATTCTCCATATCTTCTACCCGTGGCCCTGTGGAATACCTGGCACCTATTAAGTGTTCAACATTTTTTTTCAACTAAGTAGGTTCCCTAAAAAGAATTACATAAGGAAGATATTTTTTCATTTATTAGCCATAATTCCACACATTTGAATGATCTGAAATCATTTCCTTCTCTCATGGATACTTGAAACAATATGTCATACAGCAAAATCACTACCAATTTTGATTTACAAATGTTTTTCAAGAGGCACTCAAAGACATTTGTGTTAATTTTATCACCTTTTCAGTTTGCAGTCAACGCTGCAAATTTGTTCTCTTAAATTTTCCAACTCAATTTACAGATGTATTGAAGTGGGTAAGAAGCACCACGCTTGCACAATCTTGGCTGCCAGGTCATGGACGTAACTCTTTGGAAATATACCTGCAAGCCTAAGTGAAACTCAATAAAGGAGAGTCAACTGACCTTTTGGGCATGTTCTTAGGTGCTAAGGTAGATGTTGGGGCTGCAGGAGGATTGGGCTCCCCTTCCAAGTGGAGTGCTTGGTCCTGAGTACTGTGCACGCAGCCACACATACTCTGGTCTCCTGTTGTGTGTTGGCCCTTTCTAAGCAACAGTTGCTTGCCCACTGTTACCAGTGTCATTCACTCCATGACAACTAAACAGTGGCTCCTGTAGAAGAGCTGTATTCTATTGTTTATTTGTAAGCAGACATTAAACCATGCATGCAGTCAACAAATATTTGAGTGCTTGCAGTGGGCCAGCCACCCTGCAAGGTACTGGGGACCCAACAGTGAGAAATTTCAGACATGGATCTTGATCTTGGGGAGCTTAGTGGGAAAGACTGATAATAACCAGGTAACACACAAGAAGTCACACGTACGACAATACTGTGTATCCGGGATTCTATGAGATTGGCATCAGTCAGGGAAGTCAGGGAGGCAGCCCTTGGGAGTTGATGGTTGATGCTACTAAGTAGGAGTGAGGAGAAGGACATGGTAACCCACTCCAGTATTTTGGCCTGGAGAATCCCCATAGACAGAGAAGCCTGGCAGGCTACAGTCCATGGGGTAGCAAAGAGTTGGACACGACTGAGCGATTAAGCACAGAACAAGTAGGAGTAAAGTAGGTGAAAGGGCAGGGGACCCACGCTATAGACAGACGGGGGAGCCTGTGCTAAACCCATTGACAGGAATGATGGTGGTGATCAGGAAGGACTGAACAAATGCCACAGTGGCTGTACCAAAGAAGCTGACGGGGAGAGAGGCTCCAGGTAAGGATGAAGAGAAGGCATGGTTGCTAGATTACACAGCAACTGACAGATCACGGTAGGGAATTTTCACCTTATGTCAAGAGACTAGGAAACCCTTTGTGAGCCTTAAGTAAAGAGGCTGATAAACTTAGATTTACATTTTGGACACATCATTCTGGCTTCATTGTTCATAATGGTTTAGAGAAATGAACAGAGTCAATTCAGGAAGCTCAGTAGGGAGGCTATTTCACTTGTGTTAGCTTAGAGCTCCTTCTGTAAAAGCTGGGGGATGTCAGCTCAGTCAAATGAGTCTGGGTCAGGGGAGACATGACCAGCAATTATTGAGATCACTGGTGAGTTGATGGGTGAGAGGAGTTAGATCTCAAAAGAGGCTAAGAATAGTCATTATTACAGCTTCCACTTGGCTTCAGGGACACTGCTGTCATTACTGCATCACCACTCACTGCTCCAGCATATGGCCATGCCACTCACTCACTGCCTGTTTCTCTTTATGGTTTTCTTTCTCTCTCCTTCCTCTACCTCTTGACTAATTTCCTTAGCAATTTTCATTTAAAACAGACGGAAAGAGAGCTTGATTGGCCTCCCTGATTACTGCTGCCCCTGCTGGTCAGAGTTTTAACGCCAGCCTGCTCCACTTGTCAGTTAACCTATGTAATTAGCTCCCTTGGTTTGGGTGATGACCCCACGCCAGCTTCACTGCCCACATTAAAACAGACAGCTGGTTTCCTCAGCAGAGAGCTCTGAGAAGGTTTCTGAGAAATCTGGATTTGTAGCAAACACGCCAGAGGATTCTGACGTGGACTGTATTGCAGAACTGTTGGCAGTGGTTTAAAAAGAGACTCTAGAACAGTTTGAATTCCGACTCTGCCACTTACTAGCTGTGTTAACTGGGATAAGATCTTTCAGATGGCTAAGTCTATCTTCTCATTTGTAAAATAATACTTGCCTTCTGAATAGAGCAGTGTCTGATACATGAGGAACAATCTATAAATAATAGTCACAGAGATGATGACATGAAGATGATGTGTTATCAGGGTCCTGGCAGGACCAGAGACACCCATGAAGGGATGACTTGGTTAGGAAGATAAACATGGGTATCGAGGCATCCAGAGACTAGAAACAATGGGAGGCTTATCACCCTTGTCTTACAGGGGCAAAGAGAGGAACACAGGATGATGGAGCACAGGCAGAGCTGGATTCCTGGAGCAGGGGCCATTGGACAGAATGCTTGGTCCATTGGCATTGCCTCCATTGAAGGGAGGCAGCCCAGGCTGCAAACCAGGAAGAGAACGGGGAAGAAATATCCCCCCCCCACCCCCGCCCCCACCACTCCACTCTCTCATCTCCAGCCTCTGTCTCCCAGTGACCAAACCAATCAGGAAACCAGCAGGAAGGAAGCCAGGGAGGTGGAGTCCGAGGAATCAGCCTCCTGGGAGCAGAGAGAAGGGCAGAGACTGGAATAGGAGGGAAGGGCAATGAATGGGCAAGAAAGCAAGATGACGATGACCGTGACAATGGTGCTGATGGAGGCAAAATACTGGGAACCAGGCTTATTGATAACTTTTTCCTCAGGACTGAATCAAATTTAGGATTCTCAAAACAAAAGAAAACGTAGCAGTATCTACAGACAGTTCAGGTGATAAGATATCATCTTTCCTTGACTAGAATCTCAAAATATCATGGAGCATTTAGGCTATTTGCACATAATGTCAAAGCATCTGAAGGAAAAAAACATTTAAAAAACATCCCTTGGCCAGTCGAACCCTTTGACATTTGAGTGTGCTGAAGTAGGTACAGCTCGAGGAAAGGAAAAGTGTGGCTGGTAAGCAGGAGTTTGACAAACGACTCCATGCGGACTTAATGAGTAGCGCACCAGACCACCTGCCTGATGGCTGTGGCCACGGGGCTCAGCGGCTGAGTCAGCAGAAGATTAGCACTTTATAAATGGTGCTGATGTTTGGTAAACTGCCTGAGTGAGAAAAAATGTAATCACAGGAGATTTTTTTTTTTTTTAAACCAGGTTTGCTCTCACACTTTGTTCCATTCTCCTGCTGCTTATTGAGCCCCAATTAAATAGGGAGTCATAGAAGTCAGGTTCTAAGACATTTGCCTTGGATGGTTCAGCTTATGGTCTTTTCAGGGGCTCACTTCTTCACTGGGGACTCTGGAAGTTCAGCAACTCCAGGGATTACATTCTGTGTAATCTAGTTCTGTTTCAGAACCTCTTGGATCACACACATTTTTTATGCAGGTGTGCATTTTCCTGGCTGAACGGGCTGCTAGAGTCCCTGAGTCTCATAACCACTGTAAAAGTCATGACAATAAAGCAAATGTCCCAGGGTGGTCACTGCTGTTGCTGTTTTGAAAAGAACCCAAAGCCTCACTCCAAGAAGAGCAGTGTGTGTGGGACTTTAATTTCTCACTCAGTTAATGTGACTGTTAAAATTTGTGTAGTGAGTAACTGGTATTGCCCTAAGTGTGTGATAAATATATTTTTTATCCTCAATAACCATTAGAAATAGGAACTGTCATCATTTATAAGCGACAGAATTGAAGCTTAGAGGGGTTAAATGACTTGTCCAAAATCCTCTGGTTAATAAATGGATGAGCCTAGATTCAAACTTAAGCAGGAGGGTTTCAATCTTGATGCTCTTTTTATTACATCATGTTGCCTCTCACTGTATTATTTCATCATTAATGTTAGAGCTGCAGATCTTGTTTCCTGAGCTGACACTCAACTCTCTGTAAATCCTATAAGACATCTTACCAGAATTTTCTAGCACATATTAGCTTCTTTCTCTCTGTAACCCCAAAGCTAAGTTCACCTCTTTTCAAATGTCTCTAATGGTCTTTGTAATTAGTTGATGTCTTTCCTCTTCACTAAATTGTGAACAAATGTAGTAATAGTACAATAGAACAATAATAGTAATAAATAACATTGATTTAAAACCTCATAAGTGCCAGACATTGTACTATGCACTTCCCATGCATCTCTTAGAACGCTCTTTGGCAGATTACGGCTTGTATTGTGCGATGCCTTACATGGATGAGGAGATCAGGGCTTGCTGAGAGCACACAGCTAATAAGAACTGGGTTCAAGCACACGTCTTTCTGACTCCTCAAGACTCATGCTCCCCACCTCTTCCCTGGACAGGGACTATGTCTTAATTATCTTTGTATCTACCTCTCAGGGTCTAGTATCATGTTCAGGAAATGTTTATGAAATTGGACACAACTTGATGACTGTGTGACCCAGAATCTGGAATGTGATGTCTGCTGGGGAAAGCTGGCAGGTATCTGGTACTGGGCGGTCCACAGGGTCCCCTGCTCCTTCCTTGCTTCACTCTCGGGAACCTGAGAATCAAATGAAATCCCCAAGGAGAGGGTGTCAGGCCCACTGAAACAAGAAATGACAAAGACAGAGTGTGTTTTGCACATATTAGGCCCTTAAAAATGATTCATCGGTGTATACCACAATTTGTCCAACTGGTGAGTATCTGGGTTTTTCTAGTCTTGAACCATTATGAATAAAGCTGCCATAAACATTTTTATAAAAGTATTTTTGTGCACATACACACTCATTCCTCCAGGTATATGAGTGGAATTCCTAGTCATAGGGTAGATTAAGTTTAATTTTCTTAGAAACTACCCAATACTTTTCCAAAGAAATTGTTTCATTTTATACTTCCACCATCATGAATTAGAGTTTTGGTTTTTCTACATCCTCAAAACAACACCTGGCATGGTCAGTCTTTTTAAAATTTATTTCTTTTGCAATTTTCAATTTGCATTTCCTTGATGACTAATAATCCTGAGCGCTTACTGGCTACTGGGTTTTCTTCTTTGGAATACTACTCACTAATAAAAAGAGAACAAACTACAAATAGGCATAAGAACCACATACTGAATAAAGAAGCCAGACACAAAAAGAAGATATATGCTGTAGGATTCCATTTGTATGAAGCTCAAGAACAAGAAAAACAAATCTATGGTGATAGAAGTTGAAATATGTGCATGGGGGAGTGGGAGGCACAAACTACTGGCAGTAAGACAGGCTCAAGGATGTACTGTACAACAGGGGGAATATAGCCAATATTTTGTAATAACTGTAAATGGAAAGTGACCTTTAAAAATTATACAAAAATATAAAAATTTTAAAATAGATAATTGTTTATTTAACAAATAGAGCAGTGGCTACCCTCTGAGAGGGACAGTGATTGTGAAATAGCTTGAGGGGATTTTCAGGGATAATGAAAATGTTTAATATCTTGATCTGGGAGGGAGTCACCTGGGTGTATACATAAACAAAATTCTACTTTAGTAAAGTTCATTAAAATGTTTGGTAAATGAGTTATTCAAGAAAGATGAAGTTCAGGAGGCTTGGATCACCTCTGTTTGCAGCCACTCTCGAGAAAGGCATTGATGGTGCTCTTTATTCACACACCATTGTGGCCCCCCCCAGCTAAGGGAACATTGACATTGAGTGCTGGTGGGGTGGTGATAAGTGCTCAGCTCTTATCTTCGAGCATTGTCACTTCTCCCACTAGGCAAGAATACTCTCATTCTTAAGAACTTACTTCTCCAACTAAATGTGTCATCAATTCTGTTAGTAAAGATGCTTCTTTCCTTTTCAATAGGAACTTGATGGGAATAATTTAGTTTACCGAGTTCTTCTTCAATTTTGTTGTCACAAACTCTGTTAAATAAACTACAGAGTTAGGCCCCGGGCACTGGGATAACAGGTATTGATTTTTTTTCAAGGCCTAATCCAATTCTGTTATTCTATAGCTAGCTCTGTTCTTTTTTCTGCAGTAAAAGGAGACGAGCAACTTACTTTCTTTCCTGCTGAGACAGTGTGTTATATGGCCAGGCAATAGCAATCTAACTTTGAGATGGAAAAATCATTGCAGCCTTTGACACCCTCCTTTTCCTTGGCTGAATTTGCCAAGCTGGTACCAAAAAACTGACAGACCTACTTCTATATCTATAGCCAGATCTTCTTTTGTCAGCCATAATTATAGACAAGAAACACAAGGTGGTTCTGCTATAATTTTATATTCCATCTCTGTACTCTATCATTTAATGAGTCTTTACTATGTTGTTGATATGGTGCAAGGTACATTTTTATTTATTTTAAAATTTAATCTATCTCAGTTATTTCTTTAAAAAATGTTACTGCAGTATAGCTGCTCTAAAATTTTGTGCTAGTTTTTGATATACAGCAAAGTGAATTAGCTGTGTATACATATATCCCCTCTTTTTTGGATTTCCTTCTCATTTAGTCACCACAGAACACTGAGCAGAGCTCCCGGTGCCATCCAGTAGGTTCTCCTTAGTTATCTATGGAGGCATGCTTTTATTTTACAAAATTATGGTAAAAAAACTAACAGAAAATTCACCATGTTAATCATTTACAACGTACAGTTTAGTGGCATTAAGCGTATTTACATTCTTATGTAACCATCACCACCGTCCATCTCCATCCATCCCATCTCTTTTCACCTTGCAACATGAAACTCTACCCCTTGAGCAATAACTGCCCTCTTCCCCTTTTCCTCACTGTAAGTATATACCACCTTTCATTTACCCATCCACGCACAAGTGGATGCTTCTCCCTTTTGGCTGTTGTGAATAATTCTGCTTTGAATATAATGTACAAATACATGCCTGAATCCTCATTTTCAACTGTTTAGGGATTTATAACCAGGAGGGAAATTGCTGGGGCATATGGTAATTCCATGTTCAATTCTTTGAGAAGCCACCAAACTCTTTCTGTGGAAATACCATACTGTTTTTCACGACAGCTGCACCATTTTACATTTTTACCAACAGTGCACAAGCGTTTCTACTCTCTACATCCTTGCCAATACTTTCTTTTCTCCTCCCTCCCCACTTTTTTTTTTTTGATAGTAGTTAATTTTAATGAAGTTTATCTCATTGTGGTTTCAGTTTGCATTTCCCTAAGTATGTGATGCTAAATGCCTTTTCATGTGTCTATTGGGCATTTGCATATTTTCTTAGAAGTATTTATTCTAGTTCTTTGCTTAATTTTAAGTCGGGTGGTTGTTGTCTTTCTCTCTCTCTCTCTCTCTCTCTCTCTCTCTTTTTATTTTTTGCATTGTAGGAGTTCTTTATATATCCTAGGAAAGCTATGTATATACTCAAGATAATCTTCATAATAATATAGAACAGAAGTGTCATTAACTTACCTTTATAACTAAGCACAGTGCAATACGCACAGAAAAATTAACTTGCAATTCATTCCCCAAATATTTACTGAGCCCTTCTGTTA